CCTTAATTTGAGCAGAGGCTTTTCTCAGATAATGGGATCTTAACTTTTGTCATAGTTGGCAGGATACTGTGATCTGAATTGTCTTTGACAATAGTACAGTTCCCTCTAGGGGGGCTTGTGTGGTTCCTTCCCTGGGAACACATGGAAACTTTGCCACAGCTTTCCTCTGAGGAAGGTTACATGTTTTCTCCTGTGGGAACTTTTGAAAAAATGGCTGTCCAGGGTAGTCAGTGCAAAAAAAGTATTTTTGTATCCTTCCTTGAAAAATTTGTTAGTTTCCCTCCTACATGACAGGTGGGTTTACACAAGAAAATTAACCTATTGGTTCCTCTTAATGAACTATTGGTTATTCAAAAATAGGAAGATGAAATAATTGTATCCTTATGAGATTTGGTGAAAGAATTGCACTTTCTGTTAAATAAGGAAAATGAAAAAAGAATGCAAGTAGAGGAATTGCTAGCTGTCAAGCATGATGATGCCCAAATGCTTCAGGCAGAACTTTAGAATATGAATGAGAAAGAGGGAGAATGTTAGGGGAATAATTGCAGGATGCAGAACCTCTAACATGTTCTGAAACATGATCTTGTAACTCATTATTTTGCTCAGTGGAGGAGTTGGGAGACAGTGCATCAGTCTGTGGCTCTGCAAAAGAGCAAAATGTAACATTAACACGGACATCTGATGACAAGGCAGTAGTGTGTTGATACTTAATTAAAGTTGAAACCCCAAATGACTGCCAGGATCAGCAAAGAGCTACTGAAATGGTGCCTTATGTATCTACTAAGATATCAAAGCCTGGTCATACATCAGGCAAGGCTGAAATCCAATAATATTAATTTATTAGAATACGGGAAATCTGGGTATACTTTCAGGATGGCAAAGAGGTAAAATCATTGGAGTAAACAGAGCCAGTGTTATCTGCCGAACTGATAAGGTCAATTCATGGCTCCTGGATGAGAAACTGAAGTCTGCTAATCTTAACCCTAAAAGAAATCTGGGCTAAGCCATTAAAGCACTCACAAATTCACAAATTCAAGACTTCCCGAAATTTTGCAAGCAGTCTTATTTCCTCCAGATGTGAAATAAATTAGAGGAATGCCCCATGAAAAGATGAAGGAAGCAACAAGAGGAGTGCACCAAACACTTCATGAAACAGAAGTTAAAATTCTAAGGGGTAATCTGCCAGGAAGTTTGTGCTGCTTTCTTCTCCTAGGAGTGCTAGCATTCCCTGCCCACACAGAAGATCAAAAGAACCAGCTCAGAGAGGGTGAATCAGTGGATTTACATGAGAAAGTTCACAGAAGCCAGCTAAGAAGATACAATAATGACTTTTCTTTTAGGGCCTTTATCCTCCCCGGTAGACACAGGACCTCTGAATCAACACTGGACGGATTTTTCATCCTCCCAATAATCTGTCTGTAGTAGGCTGAATTTTCACTTTTCTTTTTATAGGAACCTGCCAACATATGAGACCAAGCTGCATGAAACCAATGAAGCTTTTAATTGCCACCATAATTGCTTGTAGTATCAACTTATTAACGTTTGTGATTTGTTTGTGTTTTCATTGTGAATGAACCTGTTGGGAGACCATGTATTAGTCAAACCATTTTATGTGTTGTTAGTTTGATGTTTTGCCAAGCTTATTTTGTCTTTTACTGGAAAAAAATGGTGTGGGAAGACCTTTTACTTTTGTCTCATAAATGTATAATTTTGTCTAAATCAAATTTAGCCTGGGAGTTGGCATAAGAATTTATGTATATTTGGAATCATACAAATACATATTAACCAGTTCTACCTCAAAAGGCTTTAGATTTAGGATGATTTGGCTACATTTTTCAGAGATATTAATGAGTGAGCTGAATAATCCTAACAAAACAAATGTGAAATAGAACACTTCCTTTTTAGACCAGAAGGACAGACAGCCATGGACCAAAAAAGGGGCATGGGTATAACACAAAAAGGCTGTTTACCAGATCTTAAGCAACTTTACTTGTGACCAGTTTTGGAACAAAATATGTTATCAATCATGAGACATTCCAAATCAAATCAGAGATTTATATTCCCTGTTGAACATGTCTGATGTACACTGACTTTTCACAGTGTGTCCTAACAGAGTATTTTAACTTCACCTAATTTATTTTATTTATGCTAATCAATATAGCTACATTAGTGCATTCTGCACCACATGCGCTTCTCAGTTGTGGGTGCAATTTACTCAGGCAGCAACGAGGGCCTTTTGCACCCTGAAATAAAAATTAAAGAAAACAAAAACCCAAAAAATCCCAACCAAACCCCAAAGAAAACAAAAACCCAAAAAAACCCCAACCCAAAAAAACCCCAACCAAACCCAAAAAACCCCAACATAGAATTACTCCGCTGGACAGGAACATTGCCTATAAAATTCTTTCAACTACAGTGGATATTGTTGAAAGAGTACACTCTGAAGTGTTTATCTAAAAAAATTTGAAGTATGTAAGCACACTTTTTCAACAAATCCATTCACACTTATTCCCAGTGTGTAACTGTGTAATCAGCTGCACTAAGCGACCTGAAAATCTACTTCAGAGCAGGCTAACTGACCCATCTTAACACATAATATATGTATCTATTGGGGATACTGGCCTATGGGACTTAAAAATCAAGATGCTCTCTGTAATTCTATGGCTAATGTTGGCCTACATCCAACAGACACAGCATTGCAGAATCCATCACATCCACCACCAATTAAACAACACTCAGATCCTTGTGTATCACTGGTAGGGACAGTGCCTAATCAGAATTGGGTTAATAAGTGGAATTGGATTTGTATTTTTAACGATTTGCACAGCTATTGTACATGGTATGATTACTTGTGTTGTTGCTTCTGCTGTTTCTGTATTTACTTGTAGGGCCCTCTATCTCTGTCACCCCCACAGACAACCCATGAACTGAGGAAGAGGCCCTGGAACCCAGTGTTTGAGCCACAGGGTGGTGTAAGAAAAGCCAGCTCAGCAACTGCGCTGACAGTCACTCTGACTGGGCTCAGCTCAGAAGGAAGAGGCCATGGCCCACTGACTCAAAAGAAGAGGAAAACTGAGCATGGGACCACTCAGCATTGGAAACAAGCAGATCATTTAACCAAGAGAATGGCAAAACTGTGTATGCAATGAGCAGTGATTCCTTTGTTAGCTAAAATGTACAAATGGGGAGAAGTTTTGAGTGACCTTGAACCCTCACTACTGAAAAGACCAGAAGAGGACCATTGGGATGATGTCTGGAACCATGGCTCGTGATATCTTTTTACTTAATCTGTCTCTCACACTCTTTTTCACTCTTCTTCTCTCTTCTTCTATTTCTTTCTATCTCTCTCTACCTCCCACTTACTGTTAGATGAAGTTCATACTATTGCCTTCAGCATTTGGTCTCGTTTGCACCTTAATTTGGCTAGATGCATCTCTCCAATAATCAGATCTTAACAAATGTAACTAAAATAATGTTGGAATAGGTTAAGCATGCCTTAACAAGAAAAATTCTGAAAGTATCTTTCTTGCTTAGCTATCAAAAATTCAAACAATCTGTTCAATGTCTTATTCTTGAAAGTAACATCTAAAGATTAAAGTGTCTGGAGACACCGTAGGTGACATGATAAAATTGAAAAATGTCCATTGTGCTTGTGCATCATCATTTCACTTACCAAAAAAATGGGATCTGGAATTTTTAAAGCCATTTTAAGGATCTGGATCGCTAAGAATCTTTATAGGCTTATTAGAAAACAAGTATTCAATATTAAGACATCCACATTCTCAGCTTAATAGATGCATTTTACGAGAACACATTTTCAAAAGGTCTCAATAGCAGTTTAAGTCTTAAAGCAAAACAAAAAGCCTTCCTAAAGAAGAAAGAATATATGCATACCATACCGAAAAGACTCATAATATTTCCAAGACCCATTACGTTTTCAAGCTGGTTCTCACATCTAATTGAGAAAGACACCTTCTAAGTATCTCTCTTAAATCTTGAATTCACAATGACAAATCTATCCAAAGGATGAATAATTGCTTGAGTAGATACCACTTCTCTGATTAGTTAGTAAGGTTGCTCTTGCTTACCACACAGTTTTTTTGCAGGAAATTTATGATGAGAAATTTTTATATAAAGGCATATTTATCATTAGTCATTCTACTAAATTTGAGAGCAAACCAAAACTGTGTTAGTCATTTCATGACTGGCTTTACTTCCCAGCCTTCCTCCAAAAATTGTGACTGCCTATTACCTTTAATTCTGTTCTGCTTTATATGCCTTAAAAAAGGAAACCATTACTGTCCAATTGATAAGAATATGTAACAGTTTGTGTAAGATTTGCAGATAAAAAATTTATCTGCAAATATTATTACTGTTACTTAAAATATTAGTTCTATTAAGGACTAATATTTTAAATAACAGTAATCAACTCTTTACTCATAGAAAAATATTTTTATGGAATAATAATAATAATAATAATAATAATAATAATAATAATAATAATAATAATAATAATAATAATAATAATAATAATAATAATATACAAGAAATAATGAAGGTATTTAAAACATACTTAACTATAAAGTTAACTCAAAACACCATTAACTTAAAGTTAGAAAATTCTGTCATGGTAGGGTTCCTCATTTAGAAGATTCAAATTTTTAGTTTTTCTTTAATCCCACAGATTAAATTTCACTGTGTTTTTTCCCACTTCAAATTAATATTACATCACAAAACAATAAGAAGGCCAGTGAAAACCCATCATGTTTTGATTTTGCCCAGAAAGAAAACCTGATATGACAGAATTAGAAAAAAACTACATATAGGAAGGGTTCACACATCTTTGCTTGCCTGATACCTGACTGCAGGTCAGGTAGGAACCGTAGACAGTTCCACATTAAGCCAGTATTAAAAGAGAACATGAAAAAAAAAAAGGAATTATTTCTAAAAGCAAGTCAAACTATACCAAAAAAGTAGCATAATTAATTTTAAACACTTACTTGCTTCAGTAGACATTGTTCTCGCCTTTGTTTTCTCCTCAGGCTTTTTGACTTGTGTCTTTCTCTTTTACTCAGCTTTTGGTTGAAGGAGATACTCGTAGGCTGCACAAGACCACCAGGTGTGATGTACTGTTTGTCTTCTACAGCTCTTGTAGGCGAGGAAAGATTCATCACAAATGGTGACCCATCAGCAATGACAGTACCAGAAGATTGTCCAGTAACTTCAAAGTCACACTCACTTTCAGTGTCTCTGTGTAGTAATGTGGTAACAGAAGTAACTTGAAATTGTTTTTGTAGTATCTCAGCCCTGGAACTATAAAGATCCTGAAAAGAACTACCACCTTTTCTACTGGCCTCTAATTGCAAGCTCCCTTGTACATAAGCAGGTGCATTTTCACTTTGGCCGTGGTAAAGTGGTCCCATGCCGCAAGTTTCATATAACACAGGTGACAAAAAAAGTCTTTCTCTGATATTTAAATCCAAGCTACATGATCTGTGAAAAGGTTTTACAGTGCATGAATCTTTGATAGGATACGAAGAAGGAAGATTTCTTTTTTGATTTAATGTTTTTAAGGGAAGTTTTTTACTTTCTATCTCATATCTAGGAGCTCTTAATTCTAGACAAAGTGCTTCTGTTAATCTTCCAGCACCATTATTACTTCCGGCTGTGTATGAAAGCCCTTGATTTATGATTTTCAAAGTTGCAGTTACCACTTCATGGCAGGTATACTTGTTAAAACCAGACTGAATTTTGAGAAGCAAATGTTTCTCTGATGATTTTGACAATTTAACAGAGAAAGGTGGCTGATCCTCAGTCCAAGTTTTGAAGAAATGTATATTTACTAACTGTCCACAGGAACATTCTTTGTTGCAAACAAAGTTAAAGCCACCTAAGCAGGCCTCACAGAATGGACAGTGCAGTTTTCCAATTGTCCACTGTGCCTATTGACAAAAAGAGAAAAAAATAAAGCACACAACATGTTCACTGAAAATAAATGAGCAAGAAATAATTACTGAAGTTATTTTCTCCTTTAGTAAGAGGATTTTCTTCTTGTTTTTCAAATAGAATAAAAGATACTTCACAGCAGAAAGCAAATTCACTATAAATAATGTTCTGGTCAAAGCTTGGCTTGCTGCAGGGATAACAAATTCTAAGAAAACTACAACACACATTGTAAAATGTACAAGCTTTAAAATATGTTTAGAATTTGTCCACAGATAGAATAACGCTGCAATACTAATGAAAACATTAGATCTTTAAAGTAGTGAAATCAATTTCCCAAATTAATCTGGAATTGGCAAGCACAGCTTCTCAGCTGAGTGTTCTGAGCACTTATACATTTCTTGCATACTAAGTATGGTGAAAGAAGATTTCTTACAAAAAGAATATAGCTTTTCACTTTGATTAACCCACAACAGCTTAAAATGGTATTTGTATTTTGGTGTATGTAGCATTACAACATAATCTCTGTGCAGAAACCATGACAAATCCTTAATACTCTATATATAGGGAGACAGTTATTTTCATTATTTATAAATTCTTTTCAACCCTGAAGTCACTTTTTCAAAAGAAAATACATACAAAAAATCTATAAATGCCTCCATATTAATACAACTATTATTCCTCCTATATATTTAGACAACCATTAGTATTTTCAGCAATTATATTCATTTGTCAGCAGTACTGTTGAGGACTAAAGTTATGCAAGTGTTTGTAGGATCAAAGCCCAGATGAGAAACGACATTATCAACTCCAGCCACACTTAACTGACTTGAGTGTCTAAAGAACTATGAGTACAGAAAGTGCACAACATTTCCAGTTTAAGTATTGCTTTCAGTTGCAAATGCCCTTCAAGGTGATTTGGACAGCTATGTCCACAACTGATGCTTTTCCCATTCAAAAATACAGAAAATGTCAGAAAGACCAATTTAGCAGTTTCAGAAAAACACTCCAGCAACTTGTGTGGAAAAAGTTATTTTCAAAAAGAATAGTTTACACATAATCACAGGCTTTCAAATTCTTGAGAATTCTGCAAACATTCACAATGGCTCTCAGTTTAATAAGACTGACCGATGTGTACACAGGCCATTCCCAAAGAAGAGTTAAGCTTCTTCAGAGATTTACTCTTAAGTCTCCCACAGTCCATTTCCCAGATGGCAGGGGCTAGACACTAAAATTAAGAGAAAAACACTTTCTCGTGACTTTATTGAGTCTTTTTGGGATGGAATAGCATCCAATCTTCAAATGGAGAGACAAAGTGATTCACAGAAGGCCAGAAGCCTGCAAAAAATTGACATGCAAGACACAGGAGGAAAAAGGACACCTCCATGCCCCATGTGCAAAGAGACTGAGAGATAGGTGTAGTACCAAGGAGCCTGGGACTGATTTAGCATGAGTTTGGCAATGGAGTGTGGAAGCACTGACTCAGTAAAAGAAGTAACAGCCTACTAGTGGAGGAGGTGGTAGGGGGAAAATCAACAAGATCTGAAAGAGTGCTGAGGGTACATACATTTAGTGACGGACTGCATATGGAGGGAAAATGGAAATGGTTAGAAAAAGAAACCAAAGCAGTAAGTGATGGGTAACAGAAAATCCAGGTCAATAAAGGTCACTAGCAGCACTAGCTACATATTTATAATTATTGAAGATTAACTGTACTAATACGTACATGAAATCCAAGAAGATTGGTTAAGAACAGGGACAGATGGCAAAAAAGAACCGGCTGGGAAGCAGTGGGTTTTTACAGCCTGCAAATAGACTTTGCACTTATGCAGAATGATTTAGCCTTTGATTCAGGAGTCATACAGGAGAAAATAACACATGATCACAAAATTATTTAGAGCTCAGGAGGATCTGGAGGTAAGTCAGAATTGTTTAACACCCTGCATTCCCCCGCACTTACCCATAAAAACACAGGATCTTGCCAGAGGAGACAAAGTGAATGAGGCAAGAGTTCCAAGGATATTAAGTGACACAGCGAAAACAAAAATGTCAAAGGTGTACACAGAGAATTGCATTGTTGGACTTTTTCACCAGAGGAGAATTGCTCCTCTGCATCCTTAAGCAAATGTGCCAAGCATTCAATGGGTTTTATATTTCCTTGGTCCTCAATTTGACCCTCCAGGTTTTCAAATAATAATTTAAAAGCTAAAAGTGAAAAGAATAATACTACTATCAATATTGAATTCAATTATACTGAAATAATTTAAGAGGCAAAAAAACCTCTAAAAAACTGCCTTATTATTAAAGATTCATGGTTAGGCGATTTTGTAAAGTGACTCATACTATAACTCAACTCATGAACTGTAATTTTCAAACATACCTCTAAGATTAGTGTTTCTGAACATAACTATTATAACACAAAAATGTTTAATTCATTGAAGTAGAGGATATCACTAATTTTAAAAAGTTTAATTAATGTTTAACAGAAAAATCCCACATAAAGGAATACAAAGAAGGAAGATTAAGGTTTTCTAAATTTCTGTATGCTTAGTTCTACAGTCATAACAATTTTTTTCTCTTTGTGCATTATTTTCATTGTAGGCTTGCTTAGGGCAGAAATTACTTAAAATACAGCAAAATTTTACACTGAAGTCTAAGGAGAAGTCTAAGGAATGCAAATAAAATTTACTTATCAAAATCAAAGATTCATAAAAGAAAATCAGTGAGGCAAAAAAACCCACTGCTTCTGCTTATTGGTATCTATGCCACAACATTAACTTCTAGATCGTCAACAACTTAGAGAAAATACCAACTGAAGCAGTCAGTACAACAGGAAATTTATGAGATGGTTTGTAATTTACAAATGGGCAGCTAAAACTCAAAAGCAGTGACACTGGCTCGTCATCAGACCTTTGAATTTGCAGAAAAGTATCTACTTTATATTCATATGACATATAAGAGCATATTAAGTATAAAAGACTTCAGTATAAAACATATCATATTCCAAAAACTGATCTCTTAACAAATCTGGAGCCCACTTTTATGGGAAAACATGCTTCCTGTTGTCCCTGTCAACCTATACATCAAGATATGATGCTCAAAACAAAGAAAACCCCAAAGCCCAGGTAATAAATATAATATTAAGCAATGACAAACATGCAGAGAGGCCCATGACAGTTATTTGGACAGCCATAAACATATTCATCTGTTAAAGAGTAGGAAACAGAATTTATCAGTTGTAGCACTTCTGCATATATTAAAAAGCAAAACAAAATTAAACAATATTTTAGAGAGGAAAAAGACGGTAATGGTAAATGGTAACGACAGACGTTCCTGAGAAGAATTCCCTCAGTTACAAGGTTTCTGTAACATACATGGACCTTGCCAGAATAGTGTCCTTGAAATTGTCCCCCTTATTTTACATGCTGAATAATGAAGATGCAAGAAAAAAAAATCTACTACCTTTTCAATCACACATTTCACCCACTCTGGAATGGCTTCTAAGCTCACATGCCATACATTGCAAGAATTCTGAGCAGCCGCTGAAGGTTGTGATATCTGTTAACGAAACAATTACATTGTTACTCAAAATTTATGCAAGCTTTCTTTTCTTTGAATATAGCCAGAAGACAGTTCCCCCAAACGGGTAAACATTAAGAAATAAAAAAATCTCAAATATGATGTGCTTCTTTAAGCTAAAAATCAGATAGATATTGTCAGGAATTATCTATTTCTGAATCTAAAAATGTTGGGCAAACTCCTGTGGAAAAGTAGGCGTCTGGAGGTGGTTTTGTTTTTTTTAAAAGAACAGAAAGTATGCCTTCCAAGAATATCTGGAAATTGATTTTAGAATCACTGTGAGCTGGCAAAATTTTTCAGTAAAGACAGAAAAATATAAGTTATAATTTACATAAAGACTGTGATCAGCAATGCACAAATGCAACGAGTAGAATTAATTTTCTGGTTTTTTTTAGAATAACTAACAGAGTAACCAGGTAGTCTTATCAACTTTCGAGTTTTTAGAGCAATAACATGATCAAATGAAGAGAAAAGAAATCTAAAAACCTGTAGCATTTTACTAATTGATACTAAAATAAAAACAATTGCCTAACTAAATAAGTGTTACAGGGATGACTAAAATTATAAGGAAACTGGTGAGAAAGTCTTAAAATCAGCTGCTAAAATTTATGAATAAGGAAAGTTGTCAACGCCCATGTTATTAAAGTCATTGAAATAAAAATTTTATTCTGCTTAGAATTAGAAGTGGGGCTATAGATAGAAGCTTTTAAAACTTTTCCAAGTATTGACAGAAGACAGATCCATTTATTATGCCTATGCTAGCTTTTTGTCCTATCTGTGAAGATCATCTGCACTTCAATGTGCATTTAATTATTAGTGTTTAGACTGTGGTCTTCAACATTTGTTTTAAAATTTGTTCCGCATTTTTCTTCATTCATTATTCAGTTATGTCTCTGTGTGAAGGTCTAAAAATCATCTGTGAAAACACGCTGAAAACATTAGTCTTCTCATCCTAATACTCTCTTTCCCTTCCAACCTCTTTAGATATAGGATTAAATTACACTTTTTAATTTGCTATCTACATAAATGGAGGAGACACTACCTCAGCCATGCAATGATGGGTGGATCTCCACTCACAACTAAAAGCTCCACCATAGGGAACTTGGATAAAGATATCTTTTTATTTTAACTACATTTTTTTCCATGGAAGGAGTTGGAATTTCCACATTACCCCCGAAAAATCACTTCAAACCATGCATAAAAGAGCCATCAAATATAAAGTGAGAAAACTATTCTAAAACTTCAAGCTCTGTAAGCAGAGTGATTAAAATGGGTTTTATTGATAATACTATCATGATCTTAAAAACTAACTTTGTTTCTACATCCATTGATTGTACCCCTCTCTAGTGTGCAAAAGAATGTTATTGCATTACTAACACATTAATAAAAAACATCACCACCTTCTCTTCTATTTGCTTTTTAACTTTGATTCAAGAGGCTGAAAGCCTTTTTGGCACATTTGGAAAGACCCTAGATCTTTATGATTAGTAGCTGCCATTATAAAACAGTAGGAAATACTTTGTCACAGTTTTATTTTGTGTAATAATCCTTCTGTTTATTTTAATAAAAACAATATAAATTACTGAGCAGGGTATAACCCTGCTCAGCGCAGACTAATCTTCTGAGCTATTTTTGTGCACAGACTACGGCCCATATTTAAAAAATGAAGAGCAAAATATCCCTGATGTAGGGATGTTTTACACACAGTTAACTACCAGAGGGGGAATTAGAACCAGTCTTTAAAATACACCTTATACACAAAGAGTTGTCCATTAGGAGATATTAATAAAAAGACTGCTTTAAAACCATCAAAACCAAACTCCATTTTTATATTAGAAATGGTAGTGCTCTATATAAGCTAGTAGCCAAGTGTCATGAGCACCAGCCTGCATATGGCAGAACATGAAGGTGATCACTGCCTACTTGGCTTCACTAAAATTATTTCCTCCACTGCTCTCTACAGAAATGTCTCTTCTTTACTACATATGAGAGATTAAGTACAAAGTGAGGCTAAGTCTAATACTTCTTCATTGAAAATAAATGGCACCAGAAGAACTTACAAACTCCCTCAGAAGATGCTATACTTACTTGGGATGTTTTTTTCTCACTACATTTTGCAAGAAAAACAGAATTTTCTATATATTTTCTACATCTCCAGCAATAGAGAACACCAGCCTCTTGGTTGTTCATTATGTCAGCTTGGGATTTTGCAGCTCTGTATGTTGACCTGTAAAGACCACAAAGCATACAATTTGGTCACCCATCGAAACACCAGTTTTCTCTTGAGACCTTGAAGTCCATAAATACTCTCACCACTGTAGTGGAGACCAATACTCTACTTACAAACATACTCTGATCTTACATAGCATGCCAACAAGATGTTTTTAATAGTAACATGAAACAGCTGGTTTTATTTCCAGGTTGCAAAAAGAACTAAGTAGAACAACAAAAGACAACTAAAACCAAAATAAAATAAAACAAAACTGAACAATCAACCAAACAAAAATCTTGTCCAATATTTGGACAAAAGATAAGAGAACTGGACATATTCCAATTTTTATGGAATACATACACACATATAATGCCAGATAAAAATAATGAATGCCAACATAAAACTATAGATGACTGATTCCTTTCTCAACATGCCCCTGGAGGCTTGCTCCCTTAAATTATTTTGTGTGCAAGGATGAACACTACTGGTGCAACCATGTTTCAAGGACTACATTAAGACACCAGAAGGACAAGACAAATATTCTATTTTTCTCTTTTTGGGTCTTGCTGCATCCTGATTGTCTCTCTGGTCTTCTCTAGCTTCTTCCAAAATCTTCCCCTTTTGTCAAGTTTTCTCCTAGGACCCTCCAACTTTTCCTTCAAAGTACTTATGTTTTGATGCCCTTGTGCTAGCCACATGAAAAAAAATAAGAAAATCTTTTTCATCTACATAGCAACTCAAGCCCTGTAGTAGAGTTAGGCCTACTCCAAGTGCTGAAGTGCACAGGACTCATTGATGGGCATGCTGGACTATAAAACTAAAAATCAGTGTAAAAAGTTTCAGAGTCCAAACATCTAATTTTGCAACTATTTTAACATTTAAATTTTTGCAGTTTTCACTAACTAAAGAAACTTTGAGGCCTTCATTAAAGGCTGTCTGAAGAGCAGTTTGCCTTATTGAAAACATACAAACTTTTGCATTTTTCCCATTTCTACCTTTCCTTTTTCTGCCTTGTTTTCTGATTTAATTAAAGACAATGAAACACAAAGAGAGGTTACTTATTATCTTTTATTTACATCTGAGGTCTTCATTCAGCACATTTTTTACTTTTCTACAAAAGTAAAGGTCTGAAATATAATCTGACAAGGACAAGCAGAAACATGTATACATATAGTAGACTCTGAGTTTATGCGCAGTTTTTAACAATCAGATGGATCCACTCTCAGCTTAAGAAGTGAAATTAAGGTAAACATTAAATATTTCCTTGCAATATCACAATTAAAATGAATTTTTATTAAGGGTCTACTAACAAATCTTAGGACAGACAAGCAAAGGATCATGCAAGAGACAATTACATAAAAACTAAGAACTTATATTAGCAACCTGTCTTGCTCCTGACAAAATTTGAATGATTCAAAGACTTCGACTTAAGCAGAACTTCAGTTTTTACTTAAGTAAAACTTAGTTTTTACTAACCTACCTTTGTCAGTGCTGCCACTTTCTGTATCAGACACATTTCCGAATGTAACATATAAAATAATGAACTTGTCTATGAATGATTTTTTTTAAAGTAAATTCATTCTCTGAAAATTTTTAGAAGTACTTTGTATCCCTTTGCTGCTATGAAACTAGGCACCACAGGGTATTGAGAGAATGATCATCAGTTATGAATTTCTTTATATCACTCAAACACTTTAAAGCTGTTCTAATTAATTTAACCTCCACAAATTCATAATACACTTCTAGAATGAATCTAATTTTACAACAGTTCAGTGTGAGCATCAAATCTAAGATCAGTCAGGATGGACTGAAAGATATTGTGCATGCAGCTACTTCACACATTCTTTTAGGTACAGCCATATCCTTATCTACCCAAATATCTTCTTGATATGAGGTGATACATACTTGCATCACTTTTTATGCTGTATTTTTTTTTATCCAAATGATATATTTAAGACTCTATATACATTCTGTTCCCCTTAGAGAACAGGATGTCTTGCTATCTTTTGAACAGCTGCTTCATTTGAAGCTGATGACTGGAGCAGGGCAAAAACCACTTCGGGATAGACCTCTCAATAATCAGATAAAAGACTGATGAGCACCTGCTCTATTTAAAAGCCAAGGTTCAAGTCATGCAAACAAAGGCTCTCTAAGGATCTCACCGGCATTTGAACTGATGTAAACATCCTCCTTCTCTATAACATCTTCCAAGATTTACTGCAAAATAAAATGTCTTTTAATTATTTATTTTGTTTAGTTAGTTATACCCTTTGAGAGGTTCTTCTTAGTTCAGCATATAGCTTTTATTTAAAATTACACTTACATAAGAGAAATGAGTGCATAGTATAAGTGTAATGAAACACACAGCATGGTTGTATTTTATTGTGTTTTGTGTAAGCAAGAGTGCTGATAGTGAACTACATGGAAAAAATCCAAGTCAAGTGGATACTTTTTAAAATATTACGATACAGCAGGCTGAAGTGTTCTTCTGGCCTAGGAGTATTTAAAAAGTAAGCAGGTGTATTAAAAATCTGGTTGTCTTTTGCAGACCTCACAAAGGAGAGAAGAAACTCTACAGATGCATGTCAACACACTGCAGAAGTTTCTACACACATCATGTTTCTCATTTAGGGCATTAATATGCACTTTTATTTTGTTTTGCACGTAAGTTCAAATGAATGCATACAACCATGGAATTTTGAAGGTTTTTTGTTTAGTTAAATGCAGTTTAACCATAGTGTCTTAGTGTCCTTCAGCAAAAAGTGTCTACATAAAAAGTTTTTCACTTGGAACTCCAAAAATAGTGTCAGGCCCTGAGTGGGCCTTTTTATCTCAGTACTAGGTCACGTGTGGCTGCACTGCTTTCAGGTCAGTTGCTTTGTGTGAGCTCACGCTTGCCTCCCAAGTAGCATGCAGACATATCAGAGCATTTAAAAGCCTATATTCTTCCATGGCGACTGTCTGATGACCTTCAAACTCTTTTTTATTATTTAGTCCCAGTAAAACTAATAGCAGAGTCCTAAGAGTTCCTTTCCAAGTCAGTCTCGATACCCTTTCTTGGAACTCATTGGTCTAATCTTCTCTATCTTAGAGACCTTTGATGAAGATTTTACACCCTTCCCAAACTACTTCATTGTCTTCTTATCTTTTATTATTAACTTTTCCCCAAATACTTACATGGAATTTTCTTCTAACTTCCCTTATTTGCTGTGAATACAGAGAACAAAATTGCTCCTTTTGTGCAGAACATTTTAAAACTTTAAACACTTATTAGATATTAGCTTCAATCTTGTCTTTGAACTAAATAAATATTTCTCTTTTTCCTCAGAGATAATGCTTTCTTGATCTCCAACTGCCACTGCTATTTTGTGAACTCCTTCAAAAGGGTCAGCTATTCTTGCTGAATCCAAGTTCTGGACACAGAACTCCCTGCAGTTTTACCAGCTGAGAAGACTAGACAGATTACAAAAATTATCTAAATCATCTAAATTTCTTATAAAGTTCCAATTGTACAATATATTACATTTTGCTCATTCTGTCTTCAAAATGATTGCTAAAAAACATGAAGTAGGACTCCTATTAAAAATTCTCGTATATTCACAGTGAAGAATGAAACAAAATCCCCTAAATTTCTGTTGAAATCCGGCCTAGAACTTCAACTTGCCCTTCATTCACAAATATATAAAAATGAGAAAATAAGTGTAGCAACACAAGTGGTTATCAATGCCTTTTCTTCAAAGATCACCTATGACCCCTTCGGAGCATTGCAGCCATTGAAATTACAATAATATTTACACCGTAGTAAGAAACTAGGTCACTGAAACTTCAGCAACAGTTATTGACAGTCTTAAAAAAAATTAGATGAGAGTCAGCTTTGTAGGAAGATGATAGAGAAAAGCTAAATGAGCTGTCCTAGCCAACAAGAGTCCATATCCCAAGTTCCTGTTCCCAGCAAAGGAGGAACTGTTACTTTACCAGACAGAGAGACAAACATGGGTGGCCAGCATGATACTTTTGTATCATGTAACCCATGTAATAAACCGAAGTTTAAAAAAAAAAAAAAAAAGTTGCTTGAAGCAAATTTCTGGACTTGCTTAATCCCCTGCTGCAGGCTGCCTAAATCAACAGGTCGTCCAGGCACAGCTGGATATGGAGGGTGTAAATGGCTTTGACAGGAAACAGACCTGGCGGGTCACTGGAAGATCACGGATCGGCGTGTGACCTCGTTTTTCCAAGAGATCCCAGAGTCAGAGCTGCCTGTTTCATGCTCTTACACATCCTGGCACTAGTTGTTGCACAAAGTAAAGACCGAAACAAGCAGGAACAGGGTGCCGCTGTCCCAGCACATCGCGGGACACCAGGCTGTCACTGCCGCTGCCCCCCGACACCCCGAACCCGCCTAGGCCCGACCGGCTGCCCCGCCGAGTTAACCCCGGGAGCTAAGGCACGGGGCTGCCCCTCAGGCGGGCGCCGGGCTCACCCCGGGGCGGACAGCCCGGCCGCTCCCCCGGCTGCGGGCGGCTGTCGGCACCACCGCGCTCACCCGCGTCCCCCGCGCCCCCGGCCCGGGCCCGCCTCGGCCCCACGGGCGGCTGCGGCGCCTCCCGCCGCCCCAGCCCCGCTCAGCTCACCGGGCCGCGCCGTGCGAGGCTGCGAGGAGGAGGCGACGGCACTGGAGCGACCGGGCGGGCGGGGAAGGGGCTGCGCAGCAGCAGCTGCTCCCGCGAACGGGAAGAGACGGGAGACAAACGGCGGCGGAAAGCGCTCCGGCAGCGCGGCCCCTGCCCTCGGGAGGCACACGGCGGCAGTCCGGGCCGCCCTGGCGGCTGCTGCGGCCGGCGGGGGGCCCTCGGCGGCGGCGGGGCCAGCCCTGCTGCCGCGGGGACGGAGGAAATGCCCGCGCCAGCCTGCGTCGAGCCCTGAGGCCGGCACGTCCTCTCGTCTCCTGACTGGCAGAGATGGAGCGGGGTGGGGTCAGCGCCGGCGGCAAGCAGCGACCAGGGAAAAGAGAGGCGGAGAGAATTAAGGCTAAGGGAATGAACGACAACTTTTCAGTGGCCACTGGGGAAGAAACTGCGTTCCCTCAGGCCGGAGGAATCAACCCAAACCCAGAGGTGGTAATCTCATAGAGCGAGGCCAGGGACACGGCAGGGACGGGCGAGCGTCCGCCAGCCGTCACCTGCAAGGCTGGGTGTCCTCAGAGTCCCCGGCTGCCCTAATGTACAGCAAGAGAAAGGAGGAAGCGTTAAATGACACGGGGCGAGGGAGTGAAGAACACTTATGAATAGGTGTAGGAAATTGCTGCACATCAGGTGGGGCTCCATGGAAGGAAGGGCGGCACGGCGGCCTCAGGTCTGTGAGCGTGTGTGCCCAGAGAACCGAGCGGGCCGCTTCCATCCCTGCGGCGTCCCTTGCACCTCAGCGGGGATTTGGTCTCTTGCGGTGACACTGCGCCTTGACCGGGAGCTGATACGTGCTGACAATATGCTCATGAGGCTAATGACAATCTTCAAACACGAGAATGGAACAATTTTAAAGCAATGTGAGAGTAAGAAAGGCTGGAAGTTTGCTGACGAACATTAAATGAGAGTCTGTTCACTTTGCCTGTGGAGGTGATTTGGAAAAATCAAACCTTCATTTCAGGCTTTTTCCTATATTTATGATATATAATTTCTGTGACCCTTCTTATATTTCAATATACAGTCCCTGCAGGTCAAGAACAAAATTATATTATTAGGTACCTGTAACATCTGGGCTCTCATGGAGACCAAAGTGCACTGCAAAGGTTACAAAGTACACAAAGATTACAACCTGAGATGTTGTGGTAGTCGCTACTTTTTCTTAGTGGAGACCCAGTAAAGAACATCACAAGTAGGATGCTCCCAATAATTAAATTATGTTTTATTCTGCCATGTGCAGTACAGTAACTGTAGAAGAAATGGACTATTATTTTCAAATAATTTATTGTGTGCTACAGTATGCTCAAATTTAGACTAAAATGACTATTAGAAAAAGCAATATTTATCAGTCATAAAGAACTGCAGTTTATAAGGCAAGTTTTAGCAAACTTAATTGATAAAACTATAGAGCAACACATGAAATAGATGAATGGAAGAAATAAAATGCAGATTAAAAGAATGAGTTCAAGACATTTCAGGCCTCAATTTATGGTATAGAATAATGTTGAAAATATTAGGAGAGAGATATTTTAATTTTTTTCATCTCATTTGTTTCATTTTAAGTAGGATGTAGTGTTGGACTACTTGAATTTAATGGAATCCCACATTAAAAGATAAAAAGAAATAGTCATGAAGGTGGCTCTAGGGTTAAGAGGTGAAAAGGACCATATGGCTTACATCACAGCAACAGCAAATGGAATGAGGAAGAATGAAACTTTGCTGCTGGCTACAAGACTATATTCAGAGCCATTCAGCTGTACTGTGTGGGTAACTGTATTGATTATCTTATAGATAGTGTTTGTCTATCACAGAGCAGCTGGGCGGTGGAATACTAGAGAGGATGAATTTTGCTGTGGCTTTAGGACTCATGACAGGCTGATGCAGTAGTTAATTCGAAGGCAGGCTATATATGAAATGCCTTTTGCTAGGATAGCCCCTTAAGTCTATGGTGGGAGTTGAAGGACCAGTGCACAGTAAGTCAGCAGCCAGAGAGCATCTTTGCTGTTGTGAGACATTGATTGTGTCTCAGGAGGACTGCATTGAAGGCCTGTGCAATGAGCCATTGTGCACTGAAGCACCCTGCAGGGCTGTAGTGACTGCTGCATACACAGTGGCACGTTCTGTTTTCATGTCATGACAATGGAGAGTGTATCCAGCTCACAGGTACTCTATGGGAACCTCTAACAAGTGGTTATGTATTCCAATAATCACCAGGAACATGTCATTTCCATTCCAGTTGTGTTGATATAACTGCCTAGAGGGAGGGACGACCTAATTGTCATTCCTGTAGAGTTTCTTTCTTTACCAAAATACTTCATTACAAGAAGTTAAGTTTTCTGCAGCTATTCAGTAGTGCACTAATGACCATCCAAAGCATTAACCCAGTCTGTAATCCCTGGTTTTTCAACCTATTAGAGTGCTCCATTATGTGGTCATCTCCAAGACCTGCGTATCAATTATTTGGTCACGTGTTCTGGAAAATGGTCAGAAAGGGAGCATTAGGAGAAAATAATGAAGAAATTGAAATTATTGAGTAGAACTTTTGGGACTTGACATTGAGCATAGAAGGAAAATCATCTTTGCCATTACCTGCTGTTTTATTTTTTTGTTTTGTTTTGTTTGGGTTTTTGTTTATTGTTTGGGGTTTGTTTGTTTGTCCCCCTCTACCCTTTTTCTTTTCTTTTCTAAGCAGCTTGCATATTTGAACAGCATTGTATCAGAAGAAGCACAATGAGCAACCATGGCCTCTTTCACCCTTCACTATTGGATTAACTGTTGGATGAATTTTGTTAACACTAGGCACTACAATAGCCATCAAGCATAAGTGTTGCAGACATCTTTTCATGAAAATTCTTTCTTAGGATTTTTTCCTGCTGAGAGGTTTCAGCAACAAATTATAAACAATGGTTATCTGCTGCTGTGGAATGCAACAGGTGCATCTGTGATTGGCCCATCTTGGATGTTTGCAATTAATGGCCAACCACAGCCCAGTTAGCTTGGACTCTGTCTGAGACACAGACCCTTGTTATTCATTCCTTTCCTTTCTATTCTTAGCTTAGCTAGCCTTCCGAGATGAAACTTTTCCTTCTATTCTTTAGTAGTTATAATGTAACATATATATCATAAAATAATAAATCAAGCCTTCTGAACATGGGGTCATCATTCTCGTCTCTTCCCTCATCCAAGAACCCCTGTGACCACTGCCACACATAACATTTTTACTGTATGGAGATTATATTTTTGTGTATTTTTATCCTATTGAGAATACAGCCTGACTTTCAGCACACTGCTGAAAAGCTTTTCCTATTACAAGGTAAATTGCAAGAAAATGACATTTCATAGTTTTTTACTTGAAGATAATGGTTTTTAATTGATTTGTAAATCTTGTTGTACTCCTATAATAAATGTAAAATCTATGCAGAATATCCATGAATTTACAAAACATTTGCTTTGATTTGCTTTTGCTTCTTTTGGAAAAATAATCAAATCCATCTAAAATTGTGATGATAAGTTGGATTATAGTTAGGGAAAACATTTTTAAGTCCCATAGGACTACTAATAAAGTAATTTTTAATATAGTTTTCTTATATAGTTAATATAGTTTTCTCTGCTTATTCCCTGGAATGGAATCCAGAGCTACGTTAAATCTAGGGATCCTTTCTGTGCTTCACAATCCTGGTGGTAAAGGAATCCTGCTATCTTGAGAGAGGACAAAAGAAAACATAAAAAACCATATACTGCTAATATAGTAAGTAACTGAACTTTGTTGCTTATCAGCTGTTGAAAGCTAGTTCCTAGAAGGGAAACTACTTATACAGAAAAGATGTTTATCCCACATTTCCCTTGACCTGGGAGAACATACTAGTTATCCAGCTGAAAATAAAAGCACTGGGGGTTTTTTTCTCCATGTGGTGGCATGGTTTCAAAGAATTCATGTTCTGTGGGAATATACAGGATGGAGAAAAACGCCTGTGCCTAAAGAATTGTAGAGCTTACATCAGAAAGGGAATGTCTGGGATCTTCAAGGAAGAACTTGAGTGTTTTTCACTAAATAGACATGAAACTGCACTTTGAAGGGGGTTTTGTACTATGTGATATTTAGTCTGTGTAAGTAATACCATTAAGCAGATCATTGTAAATTTTCATCGAGGCTTTTGATTAAGTTGGTTCAGCTTAGTTTTTAGTGAAGAAAAACAAAGTATTAAGTGCTTGACTTGTAAAGTGAGCTTACATAAGCTAAAGAAATTCAGCCGATCTGAACTGCTCAAGAATTTGGGGAAGATATCTGAAACTGAAGTTAAATTTCTTTAAAAACCCAAGAATTTCTATCCCAGCAAGGATAATACTTCCAGGAATAATGTTAGAATGAAATGGATTGTTACTTGAAGCAGCATTTTCAACAGACTTTCAACAAAAGAAAAGAACAGAAAGGAATAAAAAATACTGATCAGCAGATGACATTTTTTGAGAATGTGGAATAGTAATTAAAGCTGCTAAAATTGAAGCTGGATTAGAACTTGTAAAAAATGTTACTTTATAACCTTGGCTGTCACAGAGTTGGAAAATGAATGAGATTCAGGTGAATAATATATAAGTTTATGCACTTTGAGATTGCTGGCAAGAATTTCTGCTATCAGGTGGTGACTCATCAATTGGAAGAAATAAAGAGGTTAAGTAATGGAGTATATTAATTGATCACAGGATGTCTGTGCATTGACTGTGTGATGTAGTGCTGGAAAAACGAATTCTGTCCTGGCATTTCCAGTACATGCAGGTGAATACCAATGCTCTGGTAATTTTTAATTTGAAATAATATGGGTAGTGATGATAATAATAAATTTTTTCAAAAGTTAATTTCGGCACAAAGAAAAATACTAAGTTGATAAAAAATGTATAGAGCCTGCTTTAAGGGAAAACAGAAATGGCTTTGTTTACTCAGTTCAGCAAAACAAATGCTGCGCAAAGTTTTTCTTGAGAGGTCATCACTGAGGAAATAAAATATTATTGCAGCCTTTTATAACTTAGGAAATGTATACCAAAAAAAAACCCACCCAAAATTATTTGATCAATAAGAAATTTAGTTGTTGAAAAGTTGTAGTT